GGTCGTTAACAGTTACAGCTTGTTCACTACACAATCAGCGCTCTTGGTACCAGCAGCCAGGAAATAAAAGATGAATTACATTGGGAAAATCTGCTGTCAGGGATCTCTCCAGAGTACTGAAGAGCAGCGATGTCATTCTAGAGACCAAGGTGTGCCTGAGTCAGGCCATGGTCTTCCAGACTCAGAGAAAATTCTTATACCCACTTCGTTTCCTCCATGTCCTCATAGGTTCCTTAGTCTTCCATGTCTTTGAGACCACACTTCTGCCCCTTGAACCACAGGTTCGCTCTTATCTTGGGGATTAAGGACCATTTGGTGGTGGAACAGTCACTTCCATACAAGAGGTCCACCCAGCATACCTCATGTGCAGCCCCCCACTACCTGTCAGGAGGCTGGTGTGTTGCTATGATGCTTGACAGGCCTTACCAGAACTTCTGGACTAATGAGACTAGGAAGAAAGGCCTGACACTCTGCTTCCTAAATCCCACAACTGAAAACCTGATGCGACCCCATGAGTGGAGGCCTTCCATGTGTGGGAGCTGACTCTTAGGCAGCTTATGGCAGGAACTCTGAGCTGCCCGTGTGGCCATGCTGTCCCTCGTGGCTGGCTGGATGAGACATCAACATGCTAGTCGCCCATGTCTGTCCCGTTCCGTCTTTTCCTGCCACCCCCCCCCCCCCCGAAGTCCCCCAGCACTCTGGGCTCCTCATCTGCTCACCTCTTTGAGTTCCTGAACCTCAGCGGCTGCCTTTCTTTTCACCCCCTTTTTTGACCTGCACACAGGACAGTTGCCTATCTTCTGCACAGACAAGTGCCATTAGTGTCCACAGAGTCCCCACCACTCGGCTGAGCATGTGCTGCTGGCCAGCTGTGAAAGTCAGACCCCAGGACGCAGGGTCTCAGGGCCACACTATGTCTGAACTTAGCGAGGATGGCCAGGTGACCACACAACACAGTATCGCCACTCCCACGATGTCCTCTTCGTCTTTCTTAAATGTCTCGATCGTAACCAGAATCTGTGTTTCAGTTTGCAGTTAACATGTTTCGAACATTACCACCTTCCTCCAATCCCACGGGAGCAGAATTTGACCCCGAGGAAGACGAGCCCACGTTAGAAGCAGCCTGGCCTCATCTACAGCTCGTTTATGAATTTTCCTTAAGATTTTTAGAGTCTCCAGATTTCCAACCTAATATAGCGAAGAAATATATTGACCAGAAGTTTGTATTGCAGGTTTTAGAGCTCTTTGACAGTGAAGACCCGAGAGAGAGAGATTTTCTCAAAACCACCCTTCACAGAATCTATGGGAAATTCCTAGGCTTAAGAGTGTACATCAGAAAACAGATAAATAATATATTTTATAGGTTTATTTATGAAACAGAACACCACAATGGCATAGCAGAATTACTGGAAATATTGGGAAGTATAATCGATGGATTTGCCTTACCGCTGAAAGAAGAGCACAAGATTTTCTTACTGAAGGTGCTGCTGCCTTTGCACAAAGTGAAGTCTCTGAGCGTGTACCACCCTCAGCTGGCGTACTGTGTCGTGCAGTTTTTGGAAAAGGACAGCACCCTCACTGAACCTGTGGTGATGGCACTTCTCAAATACTGGCCAAAGACGCACAGTCCGAAAGAAGTCATGTTCCTCAACGAGCTGGAGGAGATCCTCGACGTGATCGAGCCCTCGGAGTTCGTCAAGGTCATGGAGCCTCTCTTCAGGCAGTTGGCCAAGTGTGTGTCCAGCCCACACTTCCAGGTGGCAGAGCGGGCGCTGTATTACTGGAATAACGAGTACATCATGAGTTTGATCAGCGACAACGCAGCCAAGATCCTACCCATCATGTTTCCGTCCTTGTACCGCAACTCAAAGACCCACTGGAACAAGACGATCCACGGCCTGATCTACAACGCGCTGAAGCTCTTCATGGAGATGAACCAAAAACTCTTTGACGACTGCACACAGCAGTTCAAGGCCGAGAAGCTCAAAGAGAAGCTAAAAATGAAAGAACGAGAAGAAGCGTGGGTTAAAATAGAGAATCTGGCCAAAGCCAATCCCCAGTACACAGTGTATAGACAAGCCAGCACCCAGAGCATGCCGGTCGCAATGGAGACAGACGGGCCCTTATTTGAAGATGTGCAGATGGTGAGAAAGACAGTGAGCGAGGACCCTCGCCAGGTAAAGGCTCAGCGCTGTGACTGTGCGCTCTGTGGCTCCGCTCCACAAACGCTTCCCAAATCCTAGGAGGTGAGGTGACTGTCCCCCCGCACTCTCGCCAGAGAAAATGAAAACTCCGTCTTGAGAGCCTCGGAGACACTTGGTCCCCAGCTCTGACCCTGAATCTGGTTGCTAGAAACCGTTTGCAGGATCGCGTTTACGCCTTCGATTCCTGTCTGCCTCCCTTAGCAGTATCGCTCCCTGCTCCCACCCGCGCCCGTTCACTGGAGCCAAATCAGCAGCTTTGCCGTAACCACCGCTCGCCACGCTTGGCTGTCCATGCTTCCTCTCCTCACGCTGACCCACAGACAGACCCTTAGTTCTCCACAGCAGCAGCGCTGAGCCCCCCAACCAGCACCCTGGGGTGGGCTTGGCCTCTCCTTCTTGTTAGGTCGACATGCTGGGACCAGGATGCTTGGGACCCTCCCGGTGGTACCCCATGTGGTACAGGGTTGGTGTCCATGCTTGGGGAAACCCCTGGGTCCCCACAGAGCACTTGAGGTCTCCCAACGCTCCAGCGGTAGTCCTGGTGGCTCAGGGGTCAAGCACGCCCTCAGCTGCTAACCCAGAGATCAGCAGTTCGAGGCCACCTGCGTCCATGAAGGTTGCTCCCCTTGACAACCCACGGGGCATCTGGGCTCTGTCCTTAGGATTTCTAGGAGCCAGACTGTGCTGCATCGGGAGGAGAGGGCGGCAGGCGGCCCAGGCCTTCAGCATGGATGAGCCGAGTCCATGGTCTGGGGGACCTGAAACCACAGCCCCTTGGGCCACACGCCCCTCCCCAGACTACGGAAGCATGGCAGGCGTCGGGGCGCCGGCTGGCCTGTCCACTTCAAAGCTTCCTCACCCCTGTTAGCTGTTGCAGCACCAACATCCTGCTTTGTAAAATGACCTCACCGTGCTGAGATGGGCACCAGTGCCGGGGTCCTTCCCGAGGGCGTCTCCGCCTGTTTGTTCTCAACTCAAGGATCTTGCGCAGGCCCAGAAACCATCGCACGTTAGCAAGAGTAGAAAACCAAGACCGTTGAGGGCTGAGCTGCCCACACAGCAGCCACTGAGCTCCCTCCATGTGTCTGTTCCGAGACTGGAGCAAAGGAATATGTAACATCTCCTTCCTGTTACCTCACGGGTTATGTGTCAGATCCGTTACAGTCTCACTGTGTTCAGTAGAAGCGCAGTGAAGTCTGCAATGGCTGGAGCCTTGGGCAGGGTGACCTGTCAGTCACTTTAGTGGAAAACATTTGTGTTTCTCTACTTTCTTGGCTTTCCACCTTACACAGATTCCACCTGTCACAGACTTTACTGCCAAATGAACCCGGAGATGCTTTCTCCTTTTTTTTTTTCTTTAATGTGGCCACCTAGAAAATTCCAAATGGGACATGTGCAGGCGTCAGGTTTTCACCTGGATGTAACTGTCTAGACTCTTCTATCAGGACCGCAGAGAGGTGGTTCCTGAGGCCGGACAGCCTGGCGTTGGGCCCAGGATGAGCGGGTGAATGAACGCGGCTTTAGCTCATCCAAGTTTAAGATTGAGAGCGCCACGGGGATCACGGAAGAGGAATGTGAATGTGAATAAATGTCTTACCCCACCCAAAAAAAAAACCAAAACAAAAAACTTTTAATACCACATCAGAATTACAAACCCAAGATTATTCTAGCGACTGAAACTGGGAAATTATGGAATCTGGCTATATCATTTCACTGCAAGAAAAAGTCACACACATATCCATATCCTGATGAATTTAAAATTCTTAATAAATCTGGCACGCATGTCCAAGTGTCTGTTGATGATTTTGATAAATAATAGGACTAGGTTATTTTAAAGGTTCCTTGGTAATACAGTGGGCAAAGAATTGGACTACTAACCAAAAGGTCTTTTGAACCCACCAGCCACCCTGCAGGAGAAAGATATGGCATTCTGCGTCCATAAAAATGTACAGACTTAGAAACACAATAGGGGTAATTCTACTCTTTCCTAAGGGATTTCTGTAAGTCAAGATTTACTCAGTAGCAACATATAGGTTAAGCACATCAACTCACCCGCTAAAAAGAATAGAAAATGCTTGATAAACTATTTCTTTAAAATCTTAAGAAAATGGAATAACTGACAACATATTAAGGTTACTGGGTATGAATTAAAGTTTAAGAAGCAACCCAGAGTGGTAAACCCAAAACTGAGAATATCTGCTTAAGCAGAAGAAATGGAGCTGTAGCTTTCACTCTCAGGATAGCAGAAGGAAGATGGTGGGTGCACCCAAGAGCCTATCCATCTCAGTATGAAACTGAGATCCTCAGACTGGGATACAAATTCAGTATAAAGATAAATCAAAAGAGGTTATAAAATAATTTACTTACCATGTTTAAGGAAGTTTTTAAAAAATCAAACTTGAAACCAGCTACAAGGAATATATTGTTGTTGTCCAGTGTTAAGTATAACTCCAGGTAAGTATAACTTCAGGTAAGTAAAACTTACCTGAATCCTGCCCTCTCCTATGCCATTCTTTTAATTTCTCACATGCTTGAGCCCATTGCTGCAGCTGTGTTAATCCAGCTCATTGAGGATCTTCCTCTCTTTTGCAACCCTCCACCTCTCTAAGCATGATGTCTTTTTCCAAGGATTGGTCCCTCCTAACAACATATCAAATTATATGAGATGAAGCTTTGTCATCTTTGTCTCCAAGGAACACTCTGGTTGAACTTTCTCCAGACATATCTGTTTGGTTTTTTGTCAGTATATATGTTGTTTGTATGTGCTGTCGAGTTGCTTGCAACTCATAGCGACCCTATGTACAACAGCCATAAACCCTGCTCTATCCTGTGCCAATATTATTGTCTCTGACACACCTACCTCCATTACCCCAGTCATTGAAACAATCCATCTCATCAAAAGTTTTCCTCTCTTGTGTTGTCCCTCCACCCTTGCAAGCATGACATCCCAAGATTGTCCATTCATTTCATCTTCCATGAAGCAGCTGGTGGATTTAAACTATGTGCCTTTGGAATTGCAGTGCAGCTTCTTACCACCAGGCCACTTAAATGAAATATAGTTAAGGAAATAACTAGTGAACTAGAAGACAGATGAGGAGAAGTTACCTAAAATGTAGAAACAGAAAGGGGGGAAAATGAGAATATGAAGCGAGTTTAAGAATTATAGAAAATAAAACAGTAGATACAGCTTTAATTGGAGCACTGAAAGAGAGAACATGACAGATAATAATGGATAAAAAATGGCTGAAAATTTATAGGACTGAGACACAAAAATGACTCATTTAAAAAAACCAGTTATTTGAAAAAGGAATAAATTTAAATTTTCTCTAAACACAACAGATTAAAATTACAGAAAATTAAGATAAGTAAACCTTAAAGTAGTTGTAAGATAATTTAAAAATTGTCTGTTATACTGGAAGACCTCTCAAGAGTTTGGCAGCTAGAAAACAGGAATGATTTACTGACTGTGCTGAAATAAATGGATATGTATGTAGTAAAAGGAAGACAAAAAGAAAAATGTTTTGGTGACTCTGACAAAAATAGGATGTGTGACCAGTATACTTCTTCATAAGCAACTTCAAAAGGAGTGCTTCAGGTAGAAGGAAAATAATTGAGAATGGTGGAAGGTGGAGAGAGATCTGAGATGCAAGAAGAAAACACAGGGCAAAGGTGTCAAATACAGAATATAAGTCTATATGTTGTTGTCGTCGTCATCATTGTTAGGTGCCATCAAGTTGACTATGACTCATAGTGATCTATGAATGAAAGATCTGAGCCCTGTTCTATCTTGTACCATCCTCATACTTTCTGACACACAAGAGTCTATTGAAGCAGTCACTGTGTCAGTCCACCTGGTTGAGGATCTTCCTCTCCTTCGCCAATCCTCTACCCTTCCCAACATTATGTCTTTCTCCAAGAAATGGCACCTCCTCGCAACATGCCCAAATGATTATTGAACATTGTAAATAAAAATAATGTTTATGGGTTAAATAAAATGATAGCATTAAAATATGTGAAAATAACAAATTAGTATCATAGGTGGGCTAAATAAAGGTTGGATTTTTTTTTTTTTTAAAAAAAGATTGGTTGGGTGGAAGGTGGTGAATGAAATAGGAAAGATCCAGTGTGGAAAACAATGTATTGGAACTTCATAAAGAAATCAGTATGTTGTTGTTGTTGTGATGCGCCGTCGAGTCGCTTGCGACTCATAGCAACCCTATGTACAACAGCCCTAAACTCTGCTCTGCCTTGTGCCAATTGCACTGCCTCCGATACACCCATCCTGATTATCCCAGTCATTGAATCAATCCACCTCATAGAGTGCCTTCCCCTCCTGTGCTGTCCCTCTACCCTCCCAAGCATGATGTCCTTCACTAAGGACCTGTCCCTCCTTACAACATGTCCAAAGTATGCCAAAAGAAAATTGGTGATTCTGACTCATACTGACTTTTCATTGGAATTTGAGTTTCTGAGGCTGTAAATCTTTAGAAGAGAATATCCATATTTCACCTACAGACTACTTGGTAGATTCAAACTTCTGACCTAAGGGTTAGCAGTTTGATTTACACTATGACTTTGGGTCTTCATAAAACTCTGACAAATGAACAGGAAGCACATCGTGATAAATGGACAAAATATAAAGTTGCCAGTGATTTCATTTTACTTGGATCCACAGTCACCACTTCCTGTGCTTCACTCACTGCTGCTTCAGTCCACAAGCCAAATGACACACTGCCTTGGGAAACTGCTGTCATACTTCTTTTAAACGCCAAAGAGCAAGAATATCACTCTAAAGATTAAAGTGTGTCTGGCCTTAGCCATGGTATTTTCAATTGCTTCATATGAATGTGAAAGTTGAACAAAGTATAAGGAAGATCAATGCAGAATAAATACCTTTGAATTGTGGGGTTAGTAAAAAGCATTGACATGTGGAGTGCCAAAAGAACACATAAGTCTTGTCTTGAAGGGTAGCCTTGGAAGTAAGACAGATGAGACTTGGTCTCACATACTTTGTGAATAGGTTATCAAGAGAGGCCATTTCCTGGAGAAGCTCAGCTTGCTTGGAAAAGTAGAGTCAGTGAAAGAGAGGGAACTCCAATGACAGTGACACTGGCACTGCAACAATGGGCTTAAAGCAGGAATTGTGAAAAAGGCACAGGACAGGGCAGGGGTTCTTCTATTGTGTACAGAGTTATTTTGAGTTGCAGCAGACCCAGAGATACTTAACAAATGGAGACATAGTATTTTAAGATCAATAAAGAAAGTAAAATACTTGTTACCTTTATACTTGAATACAGTAAAGTATGGCAGATCTAGAGGACTAAGTAAATGAATAAAACATATCATACTAAAAA